TTTATAAACTAATGTTTATGTAAATTTGCATTTAGCTAATAGTTTTTATAAACTGACAGGCAATTACCTTACATGAAAATTACCTTTTACTTTTTCAGTACAGAACTGATGTCAATAGCATTTATTTTATTTTCATTTAAGCAAATTATTATCTTTAAATTCAATTATCTTTAAAGTACAATTTAAACTACTATTAGATAATATTGGTGTAATATTATATATATATATATATATATATATATATTAGAAAATAAATTGATCGAAGTTTAAATTGTTATTTACTTTTTCCGAATTTGTACTGCTAAAAAAATACAATCTTTGGTACTTAGTAACTGTACCTAGATATTCATGTCTTTACTGTACCTAAATATTCATGTCATTACTAAGCCCAGATATTTAAACATTCCCAGTTTTGTTGCTTATTATCTATGACTTGTTAAGTATATGTATGTTTCGTAGTTACCAGGAAGTGAAATTCGATACGAAGTTACCGGAAAAGAAAAGGCACCAACTTATTTCCTCATAGATCCAGTTTCCGGTCTCATATCTGTTAAAGATGATCTTAGAAAGGAACCCGATTCAGAATACCGTGTAAGTACTCATATTTCACCAAATATATTTTTACAATTTTACTTAGAAAATAATGTTTCGATTAATCGCTTATCAGAAGAACGTTCTAAAGTTACTATAGTTATATTTTTAAAAGTTTTCAAAGTTTACATCAGGTAGCTGCTTACGAAAGTAATTTGTTTTCAATTAAAAAACCGTTTTATTTAATTACCTGGTATTAAAAAAAATAGTTCTCTTCATACAACTAAACATAACTCAAAATTCCACGCTCGGTACTCAATTCCACCCAGCTCTTTAAATATGAATTATGTATTAAATATAAACGATTTTGTTCCGCAAAGTATAAAATGCAAGTATTAAGAGGGACACCTAAGCAACCAATACAATTCTCGCAACGTTAATGTGCGAATTTCAAATTAATATTTTTTTCTATGAAATATATGACATTCTGTATAGTAACAAAATAATAAGTGTGCAAAAGCATTTTTTAAAACGAATATGATACCGGAAAGAGAATTAAATTCATGCATTCTCTAAAAATAAGTGTCTAGAGTAATTATGGAATCATAGAATACGTAGAATACTTTTGTATTTCTATACATAAGTAATGAAACTCATATCATTTTATAATTTCATACTAATTTCTATTTCAGATTTTGCATTCCGTTTCAGTTATTCTGAAAAAGAGTATGTGTGGTCCGTAATCTCTTCTCGTGACATGTGTATTATAAATTTAGAGCACTTGAAAAAAGATGTAAATTAAGAGTGGGAAAATATATTGAAATGAGAAAAAACAGACAAAAACTATTTGATAATCTGGCGAATAACTATTGAGAATAAATAATACTGAGTATAAATAACTATTGAGAAATATAATTAACCATTCCAAGTGTTTCCTTTATTTTATTTTACTTCACGATTTTGAAAATATAAAATAAGGTGATATTACCGAAATACTCTGTATGTACAAGATTGACTAGCTGTAACAATACAAAAATCCATACATAAGAGATAAAGTATGGAAAAAGCAAGCTGTATTTTTTGTCGTGAATCATAAATAAAATTTCACTTTTTTTATATTACCTTAAAGGGGAATTATTGCCAAACCATTTTAGACTTTCAGTAAAAGTATGATTTTCAACAAAAGTATGCAAAGCATTTATGACTATTCAGTCTTATGTTTCGATCTAACCAGAATTGTGTGCTGTTTAATATTGTGAATATAAATATTATTTTATTTAGCTTATCTAAAATTTAAAAAGTTACTGGAGGAGTTGGGATTCGAACCCAAGACATCTCGCATGCGAAGCGAGCGTTCTACCACTGAGCTACACCCCCGCAGCTGGTCAGCATTTTCATGAATAATAATTCCTATACGAACCGAAAACTTTTCGTGTTAATCTGTGTACATGTCAATAGAAATCTAAAAGCTTCACAACTCGCAGTTTTATGCTTCGATCTAACCAAAATTGTAAGCAGTATAATATTGTGATTATAAATATTATTTTATTTAGCTTATCTAAAATTTAAAAAATTACTGGAGGAGTTGGGTTTCGAACCCAAGACATCTCGCATGCGAAGCGAGCACTCTACCACTGAGCTACACCCCCGCAGCTGGTCTGCATTTTCATGAATAATAATTCCTATACGAACCGAAAACTTTTCGTGTTAATCTGTGTACATGTCAATAGAAATCTAAACGCTTCACAACTCGCAGTTTTATGCTTCGATCTAACCAAAATTGTAAGCAGTTTAATATTGTGATTATAAATATTATTTTATTTAACTTATCTAAAATTTAAAAAATTACTGGAG